AACCTATTGCAATAAAACGGCAATTTCATACTTTAACCCCTAATATTATCAGCAGTTCCAAATTTGAATGATTTTTGCATCATTTTGATATATCCATATCAAAATATATCAATACCGCAGTAATCACTGAACTCGAATGGCAATTCTCGCACTCAAAACGGTTCGAACCGATTTGTACTATAACGACCTTAAGGCCCATTTAGATGGAGGGAGTTTCTCGCACGCTTTGTGACGAAAACTCGTAGGCGATTATCGTAAGCAATAATCACCATAACATTATCGTATCATAATGTTTACATTCAGGCAAGAACTAAAATCTCGCCTACGATTATGTCATACGAGATTCGCAAGCAACTTAATCGCCTCCTCGACTGTTTACACAGAGAAATATGTAGTAAGGAGATTCTTGCTTACGAGTTTTCGACTTGTCTAAACACGATCTCGTATGACATTTTTTCAAGGTCATACGATTATCGTACAAATCGGTTCGAATCGTTTTGAGTGCGAGAGTCGCCATTCGAGTTCAGTAATTACTGCGATATTGACTATGGACATATCGAAATGACGCAAAAATCATTCAAATTTGGAACTGCTGATAATATTAAGTTCATTGCATTGTAGAGAAACATAATTTTTTTTTTGTTTTTTTTCAAATTTTATAACATTTCTTAATATAAATTTTTTTTTCGTTCTCGTTTCATTAATTCTTGTTTTAGAAAAGCAGTGATAATCAAAACAACCTCGCGCATTGCACTCGTGGTAGAAACGGCTGGCACAGACACTCGAAATACGATTTTTGCTTTCGAGTTCTGTTTACACGGAGGCGTTCAATATTGAAAGGCGAGGCGATTATCGCTCACGTGGACGGTAGATAATCGCAAATGTTTAGACGAGGAAAGTTTTTTATATTCTTTCGATAATCGTATCTTCGAGACGATAAACTCTCTCCATCTAAATGGGCCTTAACTCATATTTAAGTAAACTATAATTGTATTATTTGTAAATGTGTATAAATAAAATAAGTAAATAGATTAATCACACTAAAACAGCTTGTCTTATGCTATCCTTGGCTTAGAGTTTGGCTTTAGTTGCTTGTTACGAAACTCAATGAAAGATACATAACCGATTTTTTAAATGTTGTAACCCCATCGAAATAATCTTGTTTAATTACACATGTAATCGTAATTTTTTAACTATATTGCTCTTTCATGAGCCAAAGTCAGCTAAGAAGAATGACCCGTAAACTTAAACAGCTTCTCTAATAATTGCTAATATATGACAGATGCCTTATTTTAAATCGACAAACACACACAATTTGGAACAACAAAGATGCTAAAATCTGTTTGGGCGTTTTTTTATGATTGTCAAGTGACGGAACGAACAAGTCGTGGGCCTAATGCTGAGCATCACTCTTACCCGTAACAGTTGCAGTGCCACTCAGAGCTTTAAATCGCAAAGACCTAAAGGGCACTGCCACTGCCCCCGTCACCCAGAGACATAAAGTGACAAGTCCCATGTGTCTGTGGTTTCACCAGCACCCCTACCCTTCAAAACCGGAACAACGCAGTAATGCTCACACTACTTTCATAAGCAGCTCTACTGCTACTAAATAAATAATAATACTGAGATCAAAATCTACATCTAGATACGTATTTTATATATTTAATGATATACATAATACAAATTCACATCAAAACCCCCAGGTTGCACAAAAAAAGTGACACCCCTGGACCTGGACGCTCACATATCCTCATGTGAGTTCAACCAGCCCGCACCATCATCGCAACCCGAGTTGCGCGTACCCTGCGCCTTCCACTCCGTCGGCTGCAAGGAAACTTTTGACAGCCAGGACGAGATGAACACCCACCTGCACAATGATATACAGAATCACATGAGTGTGAGTAATTCAATAATAGCTCCCAAATCCGATAAGTGCGTGTTTGCCAAATTGTCACGCAGAGCTCAAGTTCTGTGTAGACTACAAATTAGAGATAGCAATAATGTCTACTTGTCAATAAGAATTAATACAGCAGTATAGCAATGTTATTTTTCAATAACTGTTATTATGAACTGTTGTCAGTTTTCCTGTTGTTATGTAATTTTGCATACAAGAAGACAATAATGTAAATGAATATTGTGTAACCTTTTTACCAACATAATTATTATGTACGATAGTAAAAAAAGCTATTTTTACGCAATTTTTACAAAACACAATAAATCGCATATAATGCCGTTAACGCTTCGTTATAATATTGTTGTTGTTATTGACTATAACCATAAACCAAAATAAAGCGGCTGTTTCCGATACCAGTTGTATTTGAATTGATTAATATTAACTGCCTGTCGATTTCCAATATTAAAACCAACGTTATTCCAATAAATAAAGCACATAATCGTAGTTGTAAATATGTGACTTATTACAGTAACAAGGATAACAATAAAATAATTATATATTTTTTAGAACTTTATGTTGTGCACTGAAAGATTATAATCGTAAGATTTACAAATCATAGCATTGTCAAATTAAATCATTTGAGTGGCGCTGTTTCTCTCTCAGCCATTGCTATTGCATACTTGCTAGTTTGCACAACGCAACAACAGGATAACAACAACAAGTTAGCTAGTTGTTCGATAATGAGTTGTGTTGCGTAAGAATTGTGCATTATATTGACATCTTAAATGATACCATCTCAAGTAACCGAGACCTATGCTTAATTGATTCGGACTCAATGATCCATGATTTGAAAATGTGACAATGACAAATCTGGATGCGTATTCAATGAATAATCGTTAATGTTATATTTATTAATAAAAACAGTTGATTTAAGAACGATCTTAATATAGACTCTGTACTTCAGATGATTTTATTAATAGTAGTTAAGACATTTGATATTTATGCTCCTGTGGTGATGTTGATAGGAGTTCTTGGCAAATTTGCTATAGACACAGGTCGGAACCTAATCTGTCAGCCTTTACTTATTTCAGACACAATTATTGTAGGTAGGTATACGTAAGAAGACTAGAAACAGTAAATACTGCCTTAAAATTGTTTCTTTATACCTTCTGCCTTCTAAAACAACATATTACACGCAAAATATTTTTCATGTTGCACCACTAAGTCCAGCAGAACAGTTTGACACTCATCTCCATGCAGCTCCTGCGTATATTATTCTGGAATGGACTATATCACCCCTCACCCTGACACGATTTTACTTTGCGTGGAAAGTTAACAATTAGAGTAAAAACTTTAGTTGTACACAAACGGATGAGAAAGCCCAATTAAGATACTCAATAAGGCGCTATATACAATATTAATATTCTTACAGTTTTTAATGAACGCTTACTCGGAGATAAAGATCAACAACGACATATCGAACGCCACTATCGACGCAAAGGAACAAGAGGCCATGAGCCTGTGGGAAGCACCGGACAAAGATGGCGGGGAGAGCTCGTCCAAACCACTCAATAACACCAGTGCTCTAATCAGGTAAACTTTATTCAGATTACTTTTGATGTCACCTGTACATTTGGGTAGATAATAGATAACATACATGGACATAAATCTTTTTCTGTCGGCATCGGTGGTAATTCTCTAACCGAGACCCATGTGTATGGAACCTCAAAGTTCTAATAATAATATTATAATTGAGGCTATGAGCGCAATTGAAGAGTCAACCTGTGACCATGGAGCGTGCAACCGTTCCGAAATATCGGGAAAATAAAAAGAAGTCATACCGTGGTAAGAAACCTGATACTAGTGATAATCATTTAGTGAATAACCACGAAAGTCTTAAAATCTATATAATAATCCACAAATTTATTTTTTTTCCACAATATTACTTTAAATGATACCAGAGTACATAATTGTTTTATATTTGGATGCTATTTTCATGTATAAAAATGTAAATAATTTAAAGTGATATTATAGGAAAAAAAGTGGGTTAAAACCACTTTTGCGCTTATAGTTTCAATTATAAACGTAATTCTCATTTCCAGGGCTCTATACGAAAGAGTAGTAATATTAGAGCAACGTAACCGCGAACAAGACATTGTGATAGCGAACATATCGAAACAACTATCGGCGTTTTCCATAGCGAAAATGAAACAGAACAACGAGATGCTACTGCGGTATTGCATGGGCAATTACATTTGGAAAATTGACAACTTTAAAGCGAGATGTGACGCGATGTTGAAAGACCACTGTAAGATGTTGTACAGTCCTGGATTTTACACTACGCCTAATGGGTACAGGTGAGCATGTTTACAGAAGAGAGGAGTGGCAAAAAGTTACGTAGATATTACGTACGATATTTTAACTACTATATATTTATTACATGCTATAAGAAACCTAATAAACATGCATGATATATACTCTGCTACAATAATAAATTGCTTTTGGCGACAACGTAGTCGATTAAAAAAAAGCTAGTACCTATTAGCGCTTGTAGGGATTCAAAAAGCTGTGTAAACCAGACGAAACTACACGTATCAAGCAAGTAAAACTAAAGCAAAATTCAGTATCTGTGTAAGTTTACTAAACCGTGTCTGAAAGAGTGTTGCGTGGCCACAAATCGGATAAGTTTTATTATCCGGACCGGGTACGGCCTCAGGGAGCCCAAATACCCTCGTAAAGATATAAGATAATGAGAGCCCCCGCCCAGTAGTGGGATAACGGGGCTTTCAATTCAGGATGTAGTTCTCTATGTTTAAGTTACCTAACCTTCTATTCCGAAATTTACCCGGACAGCTATAACAACATTCAATTGAATGTTTTCAGCTAATTAATTAACAAAGTACAAGGTTGTATTAAATTTGATAATCTTCTTTTCAGATTCTGCGTCCGCCTTAACATATCACCGCAAAACCCCCTATGTTTCGCTCTACACGTGCACCTAATGAAAACAGAATACGATGACTGTCTGGAATGGCCTTTTAACGGCCGAATTTCCTTCGCTATGATCAATCAGTACGAACCTGAATTAACACAAAAGGACACTATGATGTCTAACTCTAACTTGATAGCGTTCAGAAAACCGACTACGGAGATTTGTGTTCGCGGGTTTGGTTACACAGAATATGCAATTGTATCCGATGTTATAAGAAATGGCTTTGTCAAAAATGATATCTTGATTATAAGAGTCCATATTAAGTGTGTATGACATGAGGAGTAATTTTTTGTTCTTTTTTGGAGTGTCGCTGAAATAAGCGCCGTGAATTTCTTCTTTATATTCGTGTAAAACGGGTTGCAGTAGTTTTTGACGCATCAAAACTGTAAGGATAAGGCCAGAACATGCATGTGATATTTTTTCAGGAGGAAAAGGCCATCTGCCAGTAATTTTATTTTTTCCTAAGTGGATAAAGTATGAAGTTACCGCAAGAGAAAAGTAGATACGTGGGGCGCACAATAAGTTTCCGGAATGAATAAGAAAACAATACTATAAATGGTCAGAAATGAATTTATTGTTTCTCAAAATAATATCCGTTAGCGTTAATGCGCTTTTTCATACGAATGAACCAATTTTGAAAACATTTATGCCACTCCTCCGTGACAATCTCTGAAACATATTTTTCATACTCTTCGACAGCCTCTTCAGGTGATAAAATCGTTGACCACGTAACTAGTTCTTCATTTTTGGAAATAAATAAAAGTCACAAGGGGCCAGGTCGGGACTGTACGCAGGATGGATCATGAGGTCAACGTTGTTCACCTTCAAAAATTCATTTGTCTGTCTGGCCATGTGAGAACTGGCGTTCGTGGTGCAAGATGATACGGCGTTTACGGTTATTTTTACGGAGTTTGTCAATAACTTCCGGCAAACAAATGGACTTGTACCAATCACTATTCACGGTACAGCGATTCTCCAAAGCAACAGTAGCCACGTGTCCAGTTTTATTAAAAAAAGAAGCAATCATCCACTTAGAGGCACTTTGCACGCGCGCCACTTTGGTTGGTTACGGCTCATCTCGAAAGACCCATACGCTCGATTGCTGCTTTGTTTTGGGATCGTAACTATAAATCCATGTTTCCTCACCTGTTGCTATGTCCCACACCAAATTTGACGTCCCTTCGTTGAATCTGATAAGCATGGCATTACACCAAGTGACGCAATCCGTTTTTTGAGTCTCAGTCAAATTGTGTGGGATCCACCGAGAGCACAGTTTTTTCACACCCAAATGTTTGTGTAGTATTGATTATATTTGACTCATGCCTATGCCCGAATCTCATGGTATGTCACATGCCTGTCTGTTTTGATCATACGACGCACAGAATCAATGTTTTTGTTGGTTACAGCAGTGGACGGGTGACCATCACGAAATTCGTCACTGAGATTCACACGATCGCGTTTGAATTCTGAAAACCAGCTATAAATAGTCGTCTTGCATGGTGCTTCATCGCCAAAAGCAGTTTGAAGCCGAGCGAAGCTCCGCTGAGCTGTTAAATTACACTTAAAGTCGTAGAAAATCATACTACGAAAATTGTCACGAGTTAAATCCATGGTGATGTAGACAACCAATTTCTAAAATGACGTCACAATGTTAAAACAAGTGACAGTCAGATGAAACAAACTGTATTCTACAGCCAAAGAGTTCCATTTTCAAATGTTGTCATTTTAAATATTGTTTATGTAAGTGGCCAGTTCCGGAAACTTAAAGTGCGCCCTATGTATTTTTTTAATTTCATTTCTTTAAACATTGTTTTCTTGGTTTTGAGTTTTTCAACTAACAGAGGCAGAGATGAGCATAATTTTTTGAGTAGTGAGTCGCGTTTTTTAAGTCGCTTAATTTACGCTGCATTAAATTTCATATTAAAGTCCGGTTTGTGCAACACAACGACGCAAAAGAAGTTGTCTGCCGACTCACACTCGTAATTACGACCCAACGGCGGCCGAACTGCATAACATGCTTGTGCGGAAGGATTTTACAAACTGATCTGAATGGTCATCTAATAAACTTTCATATAGTATATGAAACTGCTCACACTTCAGTATTTCCATATGTGGATGTACCTAGATTATTTTTCTTTTTCGAACGTAATCTAATGCTTCATAAATATTCACTATTTTTCACTGGCGAGGCGTCCATATAACGTTCATACAATTCCCACCGGCTTGCCTAAATTTTCCACGTATTATCAAATATAAATATATTAAAGTAATTTACTTCATTTGATATTTACTTCATCGAATAATTAACCAGTAAAATAAAGTGTACTAGTAAGTACACTACTACTACTCGTGTGCTAATAAGTGCTATGTTCAAGTGTCGCCAAGGCGCCACTTGTTCAGACATGTGATTTTTGTTTTGGCTCCGGCTTTACTAAAGACAATTTTCACGCCCCGCCGCTGCTATTTTTAATGGATCCGTTTCACTATATGACACAAACACTCGTACAAACGTTTAAAAGCAACTGAATAAAATACATTTGAGGCCCCAACCGAATTTCAGTCGAACGTGAACGCAACTCGCAAAATTACGCTCGTCAGATCTTACCCTAATTAGTTAAATCAACCAAACAATGCATGTAACTTTATTAAGGTGTTCTCACACCTCATTTAACATTTGTTAAAGTTCGTATTTTTAGAAATACTGAATGTTTTCTAATTATTAACCATATGTCAATGCCTTTACAAAGTTAATTATAGTATTTTTGTGAAACAACTACACATTGCCCTACGACTAACTAGTCTTCTAGTTAGTTGTAGGGCAAAATCTAAAAAGAGAGAGCTGTCGCAGTAAACAGTAGTTATTCGTTTCTTCACGCGGCTTTGTCAATAGTCATCTCCGCTTCGTTTCAGTAGATAACGGGGATAACTCTCCAATGACACTTTTTGAACAGTATTTATTGTAATCTCATTTTGATAGATCTTTCTGCGATATTATAAAATTATACATTCCATAATTATACTCATATTATTCGTTGTGTGTTATTTTTGTCAATAAGAGTAAGTTTATACGTCCATTTTATTTAGTATAGTAAGCTTTCGAAGGTAATTATACAGGTAGTAGTACATGTATACAAGGGGTCAATGACAAATCTTTGAAAATATTTTGGAATGTCGGATGACTGATATGAAATGTGAGAATGTCTGTCATGCAACTAGAGATAGCACAATTGCCTTATAAATTTTAAATATGTACTAAATCTATGATTGAAACGTACTTTTTATATTTTATAAAAAACTTTTTACATAAACGCCTTTTATGTCAAGCTTTCAAATTAAAAAAAGAACGTTTAAATGTTTAAATCTAAGATTGAAACGTTCTTTTAAAATGAGCTTTCTTAGAAAAAGGATTTTTAAATTTACAAATTCGTTTAAATCTACAATTGAAACGTACTTTTTTAAATGAGCGTTCTTAGAAAAAGACTTTTGTCATAAACGCTTTTATCAAGCTTATAAATTCCTTTAGTAAGACATATTTTAAGCCAAGACTTTATTTTAAGCGAAGATTTACATTGTGCTGACGCGAAAAGCGAGAGTAGGCCAATTTTCAGTAAGAAGTTTATTTGTTAAACTCGATTTATATTTTAATTTACAACATAATTATTGACATCGACGAATCTTATGTTAAAAAGTAAAGTTTTTCATTTGCTCTTCGTTTAAACGCCCACCTCTATATACAACTGTCGAATTGTGCTTCATTATTCTCGGCGCGGCTGTTCTCTAAGGAACGGACTTTAACCCAGCGTCTATCATATAAAGCACGTTGAATATGAATTTTATATTATTTTCCGGTCAACCTTAATTATATAAGGACCTGTAAACTGCGCATATTTGCAAAATCCATGTCGAATACCATCGCGAGCACAGCTAGTTCGAAATTTTAAGGTTACGCCAATGGATATGATATATTAACGACCTCCTGGCTTGCACACCGGTTTTCATAGTGTCGCCATCTCTGATCAGGTTAATGTAGAAAAACTAACTTCTATATTGTCTCGTGGTACAGGCGTTGTTTTCGATTTCCATAACACAAGCGCTTCAGTTACTTACTTTGGGATCAGAACAACGTGTGTGATGTTGTCCAATATTTATTATTATATGAAAACGTTTTTATTAAACCGACCACTCACTTTCTAATCATTGAAAGATCTAAGTTATAATTAGAACACTTTCAAGCTCTCGTTGTTTTGGTGATAATATACTCCATAGCAATGGACCCGTTACACATTTTTTTAACCAGTACTAAACAGAACAATACCCCCGGCGTAAATTGTTGTAAGTCAAAATACAATAAAAAATTTAAAGCAAATAATCTCAGTACAGAGTACTAAAAGAACCGACCTCAAAAATCATCATCCCCTAGTTTGCCACCCTTAGCGGTGGATATTTTCTTGAAATTTAAATGGGACCCCTACTGAACCCACCCACTACTGTACCCTCTTTCCAACAAAAAAGATCGGTTCACACGGAGTTATCGCGTAAAATCATACAAAAAAACACAGTCGAATTGAGAACCGCCTCCTTTTTTTAAAGTCTGTTAAAAATGGTATTTTGTTTTACAACAACTTACGTGAGAGGTATCGAGAAATGTAAAAAGATAAAAAACTAGTTCTCATATTTTGTCCGAGTTTACTGCCCACAAATTTATGTAGAATGATCTCTCGTCGGCATTGAAACAATGAAGAGCTGGTTATTTGTGTAGCTAATAACATTGCACATTCCAATATGAAATCATTTCTATTTACATAAAGTTGTTATAATTCACATTATAATGGCGGGAAATGAATTTGTTACCGTCCTTATTAATTAGGTATAATAAAAAATTATTATTATTGATAAGAAAAATATATTTACATAATATTAAGTGAAAAAGGTGCCTTGTATGTTTGTAAATAAGTAATTTTTGTTATGTTTTAGAAAGAAATATAATCTCATACACTTCAGTGGAATTTTCCTTTTTTTCCTACACCACACATTTCCAAGCAAATAAAGGACGTAATTATCCTAAACTTGTCCGTCAGCACCATCAACCTAATATGCGTCTCACTGCAGGTCTCATCTGAAACTTCAGGTCGTATTCCGCCGCACTACCTCAGGGAGGCTCGGAAGGAATGGAAGGGAAGCACAAATTTTTCGTTGTGTACAATTCTGTTAAATTCTGTCAATATGACTGTTTTGTTTTTTTTGTTTTTTTTTTTTTTTTTCAAAAAATGTATACCTGCCGTGATCAGTGAAAAAAGGTCTAAAATATTTTTTTCTAAGTTGATAAGGTATAAAACTACCGCAAGAGAAAAGCGGATATTTTTTTAATTTCATTTCTTTAGAAACATTATTTTCTGGGCACGCTATGCGTGCACTGACAAGACGCTGACGCACGAAAGACGCTAGTGTGGGGAGGGGGGTCTCTAAATGTATACATAAATTTATTGTTTTTCCGCTTTCGTTTTTCACTTTCAATTTGTGTAAAAAGTTAATATATTATC